CCCCAAAACCCCAAAACCCCAAAACCCCAAAACCCCAGGGAAGAACTTTGATATTGAAAATAAGAGTTTATACTTCGAGATAAATTTGAGAGAATTAGTTACTGATACTTATTTGTTTCATCGATCCTTGATTAGATTGGGAAGAATTTATAATATGTCTGGATCTCTTCATAAGGTTTGTCTTATAATTTCCAAATTCACTCAACTGAAAATTCATGATAATACTCCTTTTAGGACAGGAACTGGAGGATTTTTCAATATTATTTCTTCTCCTATTTTTTTTAACTTTCCATTCTCTCCAAGTTAAATAAACTAAAAGGATGATAATAGAAGTCAAAGCTACAATAAGTAGAATTAAGGATGGCACAGTTTTAGAATCAGGCCCTATATTCCTCTCTTCTTGAAAGTATTCTGGGAAATCACAAAAACTTATGATTATCATCAAATTTAGAACACTGTGAATCATATTGACTTCTACTACCTGGAATTCAGGCACCATCGATGTTATTCCTAATGCAATTCTCATTATTGATATAAGCTCCAGAACCTTTCTCATGAATTATCTTGCTAATAATCTGTTGGTTCTTTTTAAAGATGGAAAATGATAAAAAAGCATAGTTGTATCTTAGTTCTGTTACCATGAATCTGCTTATATACATGCTTATTCAGTTTAAATGGATAATTTTGGCTGTCATGCCTTACTGGATTTGAATTCTATGACTAAATTAGAGGAGGAGTTAAAGCTCAATTTAATACCTCTATTATATTCCTAAGCACATCCATCGCTTCTGTGAGTACCTCTGCTGATATTACCTTCTCTAAATCCCCTCTCCAAGTCCATGTCTTCACAATCTCCACCACAAAATGATATCCATATATAAACCCATCAACAGGATGATACTCATATTTCATAAGCCAATTGAGCCAATACAAAATATCAGAGTGATATAATACAATGGAAGATAACAGATCGAAGATAGCTGTAGGGGGACTTTCGAAACTGCTCAGGGCTCCTGTTCAAGAAGCGAGAGCTATCATGATTGATAGGATTGTTAGTTTTGGGAGCATTTTTGTAACGATATTTTATTTTATGAAGATATCGGTACTTTGAGGGGTTTTGGGGTTTTGGGGTTTTGGGG